TAAGGTATTAAATTACACATGTACAAGTTTAATTGAAATTTTAAAGAATTTGAGAAATTTATGTAAAAGTTGCGATTGAACTCATAATGTTGGTATTTTAAATTATGTTATAATATGAAACCAAACTTAGGGGAAAAGAAATTACTAATGATATGGATGATATGAGCTTTGTGTTGAATCTTGTTGTATGTTATGTGAATTGTATTAGGTTATGTTGTGTTGAGTTGGTTGAATTGTGTTGTGTGGAATTGAGATGTATTGGGTTGAGTTGAGTTGAGTTGAGTTATGTTGGGTTGTGTTGTGGTTGGTACCCACGCAGGAAGTTGAAAAATGGTTTTTCGATGCCCACAACCGTCCGTATAATAACCGATAAATATGGGGGATGGTTTTAAAAATTGAAAAATAGTTTTTTTTTCGGTGCCCACGACCATCCGTATAATTGCCGGTAAATGTGGGGGTGGTTTGAATTCAAGGTGCCCAATTGCCCTGTCTAGGATTATCGCTAGACGAATGTGGGAAAAATATTTTTGGGTGTCCACACAGTCTTGCCGTATTGTAGCCGGCGAAAGTGGAAAAATATTTTTGGGTGTCCACACAGTCCTTCCGTATTGTAGCCAGCAAAAGTGAAAAAATTGATGATTTTCGAAAATGTTTTGAGTGCCCACGTCCTACCGTATAATAGCCGGAAAATGTGAGGGATGGTTTTAAAATTTTGAAAATGGTTTTCGAGAAAGATATGGTTTTTGAGAAAATAATTTTTGGGAGTTCTCTTCCCGCCGTATAATAGCCGGCAAAAGGTGGAATGTGCCATGAATTTGGTGCCTGCTATCCCGCCGTATCAAGCCTGCAAAAACTGGAATGTCTTGTGAAGTGTGTTGAGGTCAGTGATGATATATGTGACTTGTGATGAACTTGTGAAATTACCATTTAATGTGTAAATTGGTATGGAATGGAAATGCATATAGAAATTATTTGAAAAGAATAGATAATGAAATGGTAATTGGATAAGGGGTTAGTGATAAAAAACTCACCGGGTTGTTTGTATCTATAAGGAAAGATTAAGAGTTTTACTTTGTGATTAATTGAGAAATTGAATTAAAAAGGGTTTATTATCCTTGTGATGTGTTGAGTTATAACTGATAATTCAAATGTGAATGTGATGTAATTGTTCTTGGATTTCTACGTTAAAGAGTTATAGCAATAAAAAATTGATAGGTGGGAATGGAGTGTCTGAGGGTTATTTTGAGTATTAAGGGAACATAAAAGTGAGGTATGGAGTTATAATAAATGTAACTAGTAAATGGGAGAATGGGAATAAAAAGGAGGAATGTTAAGATGGAAATTTAATAAGGAATATTTTGGAATGAGTTAATAAATATAAAATGATGTGGTTCCTTAAACATGTTTGTTTCCAAAATGATTTTTGGTTTTCTGATAAAATGGATAGTTTTGATGGTCGAAGGTTTTCCTAAATGTTCAAATATATTTCGAGAAAAAGATACTCTGCGTACGATATTTTGAAATTACAAAACGTCACCTACTATATGGTATCACCCTGCATGCATGATCATTTCTATCTATAGGATGGTTATTGTTTTAGAACTATGAGATTCTTACTGGGCAATTGTGCTCATCCCTTGTTGTTTCATTTTTTTTTTTTTTTTACAGGAAAAGAATTCGGATTGATTGGTTGAAGGATTAGGAAGTTCATGTATCTCTTATGTGTAATCTCATTGTGCTTTGATGTTTGTAATCATTTATTTGTAACTCCGTAGCGGGAGCTTAGCATGTATTATTATTATTATTGTACTCATCGTGAAAGAGAACATGTACTATTATGTTTCTATTACTCAAGGGTAATAGATATTTTTAATTAAAAAAAAATGGACCTAAATTTCAGACTCTTGGTAAGTTTTCGAGTAATTAAAATTTGGGGCATGACACCCATCCTTCCATGATCCCATGATCCCACATTCTTCTCTCTTTTCTTTTTATTTTTTTTTATTTTCTCCTTTTTGTTCACTTTATTTTACACATATTTCCATAGAATGTATGTATGCCCGTAATACACTAGGACATTATGAGCATACATACAATTTGCATATAATTATATAAGCAAAAGCAATATTATATGTATGCCCGTAGAAATTATATGTATGCCAAGCACATCTATCTATTTAGCTATTTATTATATAAGCAAAAATGAGTTTTCGTGAGGAGTTTTGTGAAAACTCTAAAATTTTATAATAAATTTGTGATTTTGTCAAATTAAAAAATAAATTTAAATAGTATTAAGACTACAATTATATTCTAATTTTAACATTATTTACACCGTACCTTCAGGTACGGACATACGCTATATACATGAAAAGTGTTTTGAAATTTACAAAAGTGTTTAAAAATTTGTAGAAAGTACATTAAAATTATAAATATATTTTTTATTTTTATTTGCTTGATAATAAACATGGCCTGTTGCAGAAAACCCAACAACCAACCAATTTAAGAAAGAAGCTCATAATGAGAAAGAAATGAACAGTACAACAAAAAAATCTCATAATAAGAGAAAAATTATTAATATTACATTTAACAAGGATTCAATGAAAATTTTCAAATGAGAGTATTGATATATAAACAGAAACTCACCGGGTTGTTTGTATCTATAAGGAAAGATTAAGAGTTTTACTTTGTGATTAATTGAGAAATTGAATTAAAAAGGGTTTATTATCATTGTGATGTGTTGAGTTATAACTGATAATTCAAATGTGAATGTGATGTAATTGTTCTTGGATTTCTACATTAAAGAGTTATAGCAATAAAAAATTGACAGGTGGGAATGGAGTGTATGAGGGTTGTTTTGAGTATTAAGGGAACAAGAAAGTGAGGTATGGAGTTATAATAAACGTAACTAGTAAAATGGGAGAATGGGAATAAAAAGGAGGAATGTTAAGATGGAAATTTAATAAGGAATATTTTGGAATGAGTTAATAAATATAAAATGATGTGGTTCCTTAAACATGTTTGTTTCCAAAAGGATTTTTGGTTTTTTGATAAAAGGGATAGTTTTAATGGTTAAAGGTTTTCCTAAATGTTCAAATATATTTCGAGAAAAAGATACTCTACGTATGATATTTTGAAATTACAAAACGTCACCTACTATATGGTATCACCCTGCATGCATGATCATTTCTATTTATAGGATGGTTATTGTTTTAAAACTATGAGATTCTTACTGGGCAATTGTGCTCATCCCTTGTTTTTTCATTTTTTTTTTTTTACAGGAAAAGAATTCGGATTGATTGGTTGAAGGATTAGGAAGTTCATGTATCTCTTATGTGTAATCTTATTGTGCTTTGATGTTTGTAATCATTTATTTGTAACTCCGTAGCGGGAGCTTAGCATGTATTATTATTATTGTTGTACTCATCATGAAAGAGAACATGTACTATTATGTTTCTATTACTCAAGGGTAATAGATACTTTTAATTAAAAAAAAAAATGGACCTAAATTTCAGGCTCTTGGTAAGTTTTCGAGTAATTAAAATTTGGGGCGTGACACCCATCCTTCCATGATCCCATGATCCCACATTCTTCTCTCTTTTCTTTTTATTTTTTTTTATTTTCTCCTTTTTGTTCACTTTATTTTACACATATTTCCATAGAATGTATGTATGCCCGTAATACACTAGGACATTATGAGCATACATACAATTTGCATATAATTATATAAGCAAAAGCAATATTATATGTATGCCCGTAGAAATTATATGTATGCCAAGCACATCTATCTATTTAGCTATTTATTATATAAGCAAAAATGAGTTTTCGTGAGGAGTTGTGTGAAAACTCTAAAATTTTATAATAAATTTGTGATTTTGTCAAATTAAAAAATAAATTTAAATAGTATTAAGACTACAATTATATTCTAATTTTAACATTATTTACACCGTACTTTCATGTACGGACATACGCTAGTTTATATATTACGAAATATGCAATATAATTTCGATAATTTAGGGCTTTTCTTCATTTAACTACAACATGCTAATTTATATTCTAATTAGCCAAGACAACAATCAATGAAGCCAAAACCATTCTCCACACAACCAACCCTAGGTTTATTTGATGATTTTCAAACAAATCCAACATGATACAATTTTCATGCAATACAAAAATTACCACATGTCTATCTATAGACGGAGTATTGAAAAAGAACAAGGAGAATCCCTACCTCAAATGGAGAACTCAATTAGAGAAGATGACCCGAAATCAAAGTGCTCCAAATCCCAAATTTCTTGGATCACAACGAAGCCCTCGACGATCAACACACTTCTTACAAAGGCCCAAGGTGAGGAAAACACTCTAGCTAGATCAATCCTAAGAGAGAAGTTAGGCTTTAGAGTGAGGTGCTCTCCAATGGCTTTTTCGGAAAAGTAAGAGAGAGAAAGGAAATGGAAAAGTGATTCAAAAAGCTGAATCTCGGTGTGTTATACAGGTCGCCCCGCTCGAGCGTCGAACTCCCCACTCGAGCGTCACTCACAGATCCCCGCTCGAGCGTCCAATCCCCCGCTCGAGCAGCGGATGCACGCTCCTAGAACTTTTACAGACAAGATGCCCGCTCGAGCGTCAAACTCCCCGCTCGAGCGTATACCACTGCAGACGAAATACTGGATGGGTGATTTCCCCGCTCGAGCGCCAACACCCCCGCTCGAGCAAACAAGCAACAACAGAGTCCCGCTCAAGCGTCAAAAGAGCCGCTCGAGCGGAGGGACCAAAAACTGGGCAAGGATTTCTAAGTTTTAAAACACGGCCAACTTATTCCCAACTAGTCCAACCCAACCCAAAACTCTAACACAAAGAGTAAGGATAGAAATGAGGATAAGACAACAACAAATCTACGGAACCAAGTCCGGATTACAGTTCAATAACAACAGGGAATACCGGGATCGCTATAATATATCTCACCCACCCAAAATGAGTCCCACTGAAAACTCCAAGTACCATCCTATCCTCCTCTCCCTTCAACAATACTCACTCACCCACTCGCCATCTTCAAATATTCTGAAGCCAATTCCTAGAAAATTACAAATCCAAACTTCAATTTCTTCTAATTTCAATTTTATTTGACTTTCTTTGATTTTAATGGCAATGGAAGACAAAGAAATTCATTCTCCTAATTCCCTCCTGTTTGGTTTCCCTGAAAAAGACTACAAAATTAAAATAATTGGATTACCTTTTCATGTTCGCAATTTCAATGCTTCAAATCAAATCATGCATGTTTATTTCAAATTGATTTGATCATAATCCTATGTATCTAGGTGATGAGTTTGATTAATTGGTGATATGTAGATATGCATTGGATGTGAACATGGAAAGAGCTGAAGATGTGCTCACGCACGAGACTACTCATCTGGCGGAAGACCCTGCGACTTGACCTGTATTTGAAGTTCGTCTTGTGCAGGTAATCAGAATTTAGATTTGTTTCTTTGTCAATCTAGACCCCTTTTGCCGTAAATTCATTAAATGATGGTCCTTGTATTTTCCTTCGTCGACTGAAACAAATTGTGTCATGTTGTGTGGTGGAATAGAGGTGAAAACAAAGCTAAAGAAATTTTAATTTTCTCTGGATTTTTTTAGTTTGAACTCAGAGAAATTTCAATTTTCTTTAGATACAGAATTTTCTATAGATTTATGTTGAGGGACCTTAAATATTATAAAACTATTAGATGTCCTTTGTGCTATAAAATCTTAATAGCATGGGACTTTAAAAAAAAAAATCTCCTTGATTTCTCTTTAATATCCTTTTTATACTGTTTCTACATATTGTATATGAATTTTATATAGTTATATAAAATTTAAATTAAATATAAATCTTTCCTAATAAACAATTTCATGCTAAATAGGAAACTTAGTATAAATTAATATTAAAATATGAATAAGGTAGATGAAAAAATAGGACATATATTACATATTGTATATGAATTTTATATAGTTATATAAAATTTAAATTAAATATAAATCTTTCCTAATAAACAATTTCATGCTAAATTGGAAACTTAGTATATATTAATAATAAAATATGAATAAGGTAGATGAAAAAATAGGAAATATATTTAATTTTAATATAAAATTTAAATACTTGAATAAAAGCGAGAAAAATGAAAGAAAATTAATTCGTAAAGTATTTTTTTATACATATAAGTTTATTAACTTTTATTTATGGATAGTTTAAATTAATTAATATGAGGGTATGTTCATGATATTTTTAAAATAAAAAAGAAATATGCGCCACATGAGACAAAAAAAAAATTTAAGGGTAAACACGATTTATATATATATATGATATGATTAGAGCGATTGGACGTTTACTATTTGCTTTCTAGATTATTTGACTTCAATGTCACTCGTGATCGCCATTTTTTGTTTTGAAAAATGCTATAATTCTCATCTTTAAGTATCTCAAATTTATTTTGAATGAGTAGTGTGGTTGAAATTGTATTTATGTAATGTGGAGTTCATGTATAAAATAAATTTGAACTATAAAATAATATTTTTAAATAAATTTTAAATAATTAAATCTGAATTTGTAGTATTACTGTTTTGTTTTGAATGGGTAGTATTCCTGTTTTGTTTTTTGTTTTTTGTTTTTTTTCTTTTCTTTCTTTTCTTTCTTTTTTTTCCTGACTGTGATGCCTATTGAGCAATACCTGAGTTTGTTCTTCCGAACTTTTCCATTCAACAAATCAAATCATTATCGTCTCATATACTAACTAATATTTATTTAATTTATTTGCTTAAAAAAATTGATTAGTGTTGTGTTTAGTTATAACCTTAAATCATAATTTATTTGAAAATTTTCAGCTATTCAATTTAAAAATGAGCTTTTTATAAATTATAATTTCTATATATATATATATTGCTAATTTGAGAACCTTAATTACCTCTCAATAAAAGAGTCTCATCTCATATTAACTTCGCAACCAAAGGAATTGCATTCCAGATCCTCCTCTCAACTTTGTTAAAATTGTTTCCAACGCACCACTGCAATAAACACTCCACTGAACCCGACACAACCCATAATATAGCCCACCACTACAATAAACCAGCCCAAACCTTCCAAACCAGTGGACAAGAAGTGAGAACATGCTCAACAAACTCATCCTCCGATTTACAAAAGACACACAAAGCAGATGCATTCTCATCAAGAATTTCAATATTTTTTGGAAAGACAGAAGTTTTAACTTTATGCTTACAAGCTAGCCACCCAAAGAATTGGACTTTAGGTGGCAGATATTCAATCCACACCAATCTACTGGAACTAACACAATCCCCAAAATCTGATTCACACTGTCTATACAGAGTTACAACAAATAATCGACCTGTTTGGGATGCTAACCACTTTGGTTTATCCTTGACACGCACTCTTAATGCTGGAGTTGCTTTTAACACATCTATGATTCTACTCTGCTCTTCAACCTCCCACTGGTGCAATGGCCTTCTAGACTTGAGATCCCATAACTCAGAATTCTCTTTAATAGCAACATAAAACCTCAGTGTTCCATTTTTATAGTAGAGAGTGAAAAGAGTCTAGGAAATTCATCTTTGAGACAAATATCACCACACCATTTATCATGCCAAAGGCTCACTCTACTTCCATCACCCACTTTAATCTGCAGATTATTAGCATAAAATTGTAGCAGATTGTTTCTTTGCTCTGCCACGGTTAAAATATCACACCATATCTTAGAACATCTTATACTTGTAGTTAAATTTGGACCTAGTGACCCTCTTCCATTTTGTACTTATTGCATAATACCTTTTTCCACAATGCATCCTCTTCATTAGCAAACCTCCACCACCACTTCATCAATAGGCAAGTATTTACCTCTCTAATTCTCCTAATCCCCAGCCCTCCTTGCTTAATACTCTTTGTCACCTCTTTTCATTTTACTAAATGAATTTTTCTCTTTAAATCTGAGCCTCCCCACAAAAAGGAAGCTTGTAATATATCAATTTCCTTTGCTACTCCTTCTGGCATCCTGAATAGTGATAAATAATACACAAGTAAACAAGCTAGCACAGACTTAATTAATGTTAGTCTACCAGCAAAGGAAAGGAACCTCCTTTTCCACCCAGCAATCTTGAGTTTTAACTTATCAATGACAGGTTTCCAGGTCTTCTTTCTACTTGGAGAAGCTCCCAATGGCAGCCCAAGGTATTTCAATGGTAATTTTTGAGTTTTACAATTGAGCACGACAGCAGAATCCTTCAATGCAGCCTCAGAAATACCAATCCCACACACCATACTCTTATGGAAATTAATTTTAAGCCCTGATACCATTTCAAAGCATCTTAAGATTCTTTTCATATTCATCACCTCCACCCCATCAACTTCACAAAAGAGCAATGAATCATCTGCAATTGAAGATGTGATACCACCATCCCACTGGTGCCAATTTTAATCCCTTTGATCAATCCCATCTCCCTTGCTCTGAGCAATAGAACATTCAATCCTTCAGCAGCCAAAATAAATAGAAAAGGTGATACTGGGTCACCTTGTCTGAGCCCTTTTTGTGGACTAAATTCTTTAGTTGGCGATTCGTTCACTAGAACTGATAATCTAGCTGTTGAAATACACTTTTTTGTCTGAGAAATCCATTTTGGGCCAAAACCAAAATTTGATAGCATAGAAAACTAATAATCCCAGTTAATGGAGTCATATGCTTTCTCAAAATCAATTTTAAACAACAACCCCTTCTTCTTGGTTTTTTTTCCACCCATCCACTACTTCATTTGCAATCAAAACTCCATCCAATATATTCCTACCACCCAAGAAAGCTGATTATGCTTCACTAATTACTCCTAGGATCACTGACTTGAGCCTACTTACAAGGACCTTAGATAGAATCTTGGACATTGACCCTATCAAGCTTATTGGCCTATACTCATTAAGATTGATTGCATTATCCTTCTTAGGGATTAGTGTGATAAAGGAACTATTCAACCCACTGGCCAGTTTGCCCAATCTATGAAACTCCATCATGAAGTTGATCACATCTTCTTTTAGGACCTTCCAGTTCTTTTGGAAGCACATAAAATTGAATCCATCTGGGCCTGGTGCCTTGTTCCCATTGCATTCTTTTACTGCAGCCTCTATCTCTGCCTCAGAGAACTCTGCTTCCAACAGTTCAAAACTACTACTATATCTTACACCCTTGAATTCACCAGTTAACACAGATCTATTCCTTCATTTTTTTGAAAAATGCCTTTTAAAATATGCCCATACCTCTTGCTTCACTAATTCTGGATCCTCCACTACCACCTCTCCAATTGAAATAGAGTTTATTGCATTCCTATTTTGCCTACTGCTTACCACGACATGAAAGAATCTGTTGTTCCTGTCCCCTTTTAGATTCCAATCCAACCTTGAATTTTGCAACCATGACCATTCCAACATTCTACTAAGCCTCCACAATTCACAATTGGCCTCCCTTTTTAGCTTCAATTCTGCCTCCAGCAATGGTCTATCTTCAGCCAATAAATCCAAAGAATTTAGTTCACTCTAAGCTTTTTTAATCTTTTCTGGAACACTTCCAAACACCTTCTTGCTCCATTTCTTTATTTCCATTTTCAATGCATGTAATTTCCTTTGCAATATGAAACCAGCCTTGCCATTTATTTGTGTCTATTTTCATACTTTCTCCAGGAAAGGGGCAAAGCTAGGATGCAGGAGCCAAGCATTTATAAACTTAAAAAAGGTTTGGGGCCCCAATCCCTTTCATGCTCCATCAAGACTAGTGGACAATGATCAAAGATGATTCTTGGTGGTCCCCAAAGTTTTAACTTAAACCTTTCAATCCACTCAGGGCTAATAAGAAATCTATCAATTTTACTCCATTTATTTCCATCCAAGGCATTACACCAGGTATACTTCCTACCCAGCATTTGTAATTCAGTCACCTCACATCTATCTATGAAGTTATTGAATTCTTTCATACCCTTTTCCCTTCTTGTGCGCTAAGTGTAATCTTCCCTCACATTTCTGATCTTATTGAAATCTCCACCTAAACACCAAGGCTTAGGAAAGTTTGCTTTCAACTTCAAAAGTTTCTCCCATAATTTACCTCTCCTTCCAGTATCATTGGGAGCATATACATTAAGAATAACACAATCAAAAGATTTAAGAGCAGTACCTGATAGTAGAATGAATCCTCTATTACTAAAACATTCTAAGATCTAGAACACATTAGGATCCCATATGCAAAGCAACCCCCCTGACCTTCCCTCAGCATCCACAACCATGAATTCCATGTTGTCTATGTGCCAAAGACTTCACACCTCCAAACTTGAGATACTTGCTTTTTTTGTTTCTTGAAATAGTGCCAGATCAATTTTTCTATCCAGCAAAACCTTCCTTATCTTTCTCTTTTTCTCAGGCTTACCAATTCCTCTGATATTCCAGCTTAATAATTTCATAACAACATCTTTTTAACTCTTTGATCCACCCTAGAGTAAGTACAGATTATACTTCTCTACCTACCTATGACAACCCAAACTTGCTAATCGTGATTTTAATTAATTAATTATGTGTTAATTCTAATTGAAATAAGTGCCTAGGAATTTAATTTGTGCATATATGTCCAAATTGGAAAATTACCTGTTAAGATTACAACTTTGAAACTAAAATTGACAATCTTATTGGGTGCACAAATTGAAATTGAGTGCATGGATGGGCTCATGGGAATTTTTAGAGCCATTTGGAAAGTTTAATTGAAAATTGATTCAGTTTACTGAAATTGTCTGTGATTGAATTAATTGAGCCTTAATTGGAACTAATAATTATGTTCTTACATGTTAATTATGTGATTAAGTACTATTGATTGTTATGAGATTCATTGACTTGTATTGTTTGAATAGATAGGTTAGAATGGAAATTAAACCTGTCTGATTCGCTAATTTTAACAAGTTAAAATTAAATAATTTGCCATCAATCCAAAACACTCAACCTAAAATCATCAAACACTTACGAGAGTGATTTTAGTTTGTTTGTTTTTAAGAATAAACGATAAATCAACACAAACGATTTTTTACGTGGAAAAAACCACAATTGAAGAACCTTCAATTGTAATAAAAAAAACCACGGGCGAACCGCCACTATCAATCCACTACTGAAGAACGAAAAGATTACAAAGAAATCATACAAATTACCCAACCCTAGTCAATTTGTCTCTGAATCTTCTGTAACTCTTTTCTCCACACCTTCGTCACGGAATTGATCCTGAAGTTGATTCCACACCACAACTTCACTTGTCGAATTAACGACTGCGTAGACTCAAACGCCTTTTGGACCCTACGCTTTAATCTTCGGAATCCACCGAAGAGAACTTACTTGAAACTTAAGAAGCAACCTCCTTGATGTATGAATCTCAATGCATAAGTTAGTGTAATATATTCACATGCATGGCATAATTTTAGTGCAAACACCTATTAGGTTGCATGATCCTTACATGCATGTCATGTTTTCAAGAATCTATGAACAAAACAATTGTTTTCTTGCATGGTTTATGAACTTTAAGGAGGAAATCTCAAAATTTTTGAAAAAGAACATAATTTGTATATATATTGGTGATTTTATACTTGAATATGCTTGAGTCCAAGAAATTTGATCATCTCATGGACAAATTAATTTCATACGCATGATCTCTTACTTGGTCTCTCATAATCTCAAAGAAATTCTCATTTAAAGGCTTGAATTGAAGCTTGAACATACATTTTATGATTTATAATTGCTTTAAATATTTTCAGTAAATTGAACAATTGAATTTGGTTATAAACTTATGGTTTTTATTTGATGATTGAAAATTAAAGTTCAAGCTTGTTTTTGTGGATTTTGGGATTGAATTATACAAAGTAAAGAATGAAAGTTAGATTGAACGAGAGAAACCGAATAGAAATCAAGTAATCGAATTGAATAGAATTGTAAGAGTATGATTGTAATTGTGTTGTGCTTGACTTTATTTCTTTAGGTCGAACGCCTAACTATTCGCACATGTTTCGAGGAGCCCATTGTGAGTAACACTGTTGTAAAGATATGTTCAATCGTATTTATTTTCTAATTGATAAATTATATTGTTTTCTGAAATGATATTTTTTATCGATTGAATGATGATCCTATTTTCTAAACTGTATTCGTGGCATCCTTAGCATATTGCTATTGTTATTGATATTGTTATCGCTATTATTACAGAGATCTCTGTTAGTTCCAATTCTTGGAACGATTGTCTATTGTTTGATGGCCATCAATTGATTGCTCGATCTTTAAGACCTATTGTATTGTTGCTATTGAATGTACCACGTATGACCTGTATGAATCTGATTGATTGAATTGAACGATTGATTGACAAAAAGATATTGATTGAAAATGTTCTATTGATAATCGATTGTTTCAAATACTGTAAGGACATCATTTTTAACCTCTTTACACAGTTGTTATTCATTGGACTCTAGCTCATTGTTTATTATATGTATGTAGGTGATCAAGCACCGGATCAGAGTTAGCGACGTCGACCCGAAACATGCTTTTGTCAAGCCAACTATTGTGCTTCACTGCGAGGTTCTGAGCTATTGCATGTCAGGGTTTTTTTTTGGGGGAGGGGGGGGGATGATTCAGGTTCACCCTTTTGACATGGTGTTTAAGAGATAAGAATGTTTATTGAGTTTGGTTAACCGTTTTTGGCAATGAGATTTAATTCCCTAACTTACGTTTTGTTTTGTGTATAAGTGTTTTATGGACTTAAGTGTGTGTATATATATAAACATATGAGAGTTATTTTGTTCATTTAAATCCTCACAGCTCATTGGACATTATTTTCTATTAGTGATTGGCTTTCGCCAGCCCCCTATTATTGTGTTATTGTCATTATTCACTACAAGAATTAACACTTTTGACAACAAAAAATTGGTCGCTAAAAGCCTATTTTTAGTCGGCAAAAGTTGACCACGACCAATTTTTTTAGTCGCTACTTTGGTCGCCAATTGAGGGTCAGCAAAAGTAATTCGCGACCAAAATTTTGGTTGGTCGGGAAAAGTTGGATTTGCCGACTAAATTTTTGGTCACTAAATATACCATTACTGTGACTAATCCATTTTGTCGCTAAAATATTTTGGTTGCGAAAAGTCACCTTTTGCCGACCAAATATCTTAGTCATCAATTGTCACATTCCACGACCAACCTCTTTTTGGTCGCCAATTATCACATTCAACGACCAAAATTTGTGGTCGCCAATTGTGACATTTCACGACCAAAAATTTTGGTCGCCAATTGTAACATTCTGCGACCTCTTAATTTGGTCGCCAATTGTGACATTCTGCGACCTCTTAGTTTGGTCGCCAATTGTCACATTCTACGACCAAAATAATTAGTCGCCAATTGTCACATTCCACAATCAAACATGTTTGTCACCAAAGAAATGTTTGCGCAACTAAAACTTTAGTCGGCAATAGACCTATTCGTGACCAAAATCCTTTGGTTGCAAAATTAATAATTTTAACGACTAATTATTAGTCGCCAAATGTGCTTTGTGATACACCGACTACTTTATTTAGTCGGCAAAAGTATAACTTATCTTTTCCGACTAATCAATTGGTCGCCAAAACTATAAAAATAAAACCAAATTTTGGTCGCCAACATCCAACAAAATAAACCTGTAATTTATAATAATCCATCCAATTTATTCAATATAATCTGTAATTTGCAAAAATCATTCAAACCAACAAATAAATTGAATCATCAACATTCAACAAAATACATATATCAACAATTTCTGAACCTGTTTAATTAAAGTCAGCAACTATTATAAGTTTACATCCACAAATAATTCCAAACTACATATTTCATCTAGCATAAAAATTTAAAACATAACAAGTATTTGTTATTATATTTTAAATTTTTATCCATGTACATCAACCCAAAAATATAACTAGGAGTCTACCAAATATTTTCTATACACACCCATCCAAAAATATAACTAGTAGTGTATCCAAAAATATAACTACTAGTCTGCCATAATATTTTCCATATACATCTATACAAAAATATATAATCCTTCCAAAAATGCAAAAAAGTGCCAATTTGTCCTGTACAATTTAACTTTGTGCACGAGTTCATCCATTTGTACAAAAAAAAAAGAGAAATAATGTCAGGTAAAATTGGACAAATAATGAAAAATGTCCATGAAAAGCAAAGGTCACATTACCAAATTCAATGACTATCATTATCAAATTGTAAATAAAACAATAGCATTCTTATGTCTATAGAATAAATTGGATCAGCCACCATTCCAGATCCAATATAGTGCCACACAGCAGAAACCAACATGGCAACTGAAATTGATCCATATTGTCAATAACTCCTATCTTCCTCAATGAACCTTTCATGTGAATTAAATTTCAATCCAGAACCAACCACAATCAATACCCCAGCTGTGTGTGCTGCTATGTGACACAATCACTTTTCAGAAGCCTTCTGATGAAACCAGTATTGCCAAGGCTTCTGAAGGCTCCTGATCTGCCAACTGTAAGTTGACTTGACCCTGCTCTATGCATATGTGTGCTGATATACATACAGACAATCTAGAATATATATGTTTTTCGCAAAGAAAATAGACAACAAAAGGCATAAATAAGAAAGGAAGCATGGTAGCCTCTGAAGCAAATGACAGGAACAAACTTAAAGGCAAACACAAAACAATGTGTTACAACAGGTGAATGCCTGCCAAGCAACATCACAAGCTCTTCATCAATTCCTAGCCTATAATAAACCAGTAACTAAAATCAGATCACTTAATGAAATTAGAGAAAAGCACAACTGGCAGGTATACACAGTACTACCATACACATAGCACCACCATTAAGCTGTGTTTGGATTGTACATTTTGGAAGGGATTTGTAGAGGGAAAAGAAAAAGAAGGGAATTGTTGAACAAAATTTATCATCAAATACAAAATTCATTTGTTTGAAAGTGACAGAAAGTTGAGCACTTGTAAGTAAAGTTGTTTTCAACTAAATTAGAAAGTGCCTTGATTGAACACATGCAAACTGACCCAAAAGATCCACAATTAATCAAGAATAAGAAGAAAAATTAATTTATAATCACCTAGGTATATTAACTCAATAATAATATCCCCAATGAATGAATGATGACCAGAAGGAAGAACTTTCAACCACTTTAACTGCCTTGGGGGAACAAACTGGCAGAGAGGATATTTGGTCACTTCTGTTCTATAAGGAAAATCTGTTTTATTTCAAATCACCCACCCCTTGTTTCAAAAGGTGGCCTAGCTTATATTTTCATTATTTTTAATAGTGCAATTATGGTGCACTTGTGACATCCCAGTTCAAACCAGTTGACCTGGCGGTTGAACCAGTAACTCTTCACTTGGTCTCTTGTTTGGTTCACTCAAAGATCCGTGTTTCAAAACATTGAACTGGAGATAGCAAGTTTGGGAAATACAAAGAACTATTTTTGGTGAAGTTTTAGATGTCTCATATAAGATCCACCAGGGCAACATTTAGCAGAACCTTGAAAAGTAAGGACTAAGATTAAGAGTACTAAAAAAAGGCCTCAAGGCCTATGAAAAAGTTGGAACATACCTATGAAAAATTCAACAAACATTTTAACAAGCATACTTGCCAAAAAGTACAAAGATTCTTCTTAATCCAATACTAAAAATACATACTGATAAATAACTAAAGAAGAAGAGTAGCAAATTTTCAGCACTCTATCATGTGAAAGGCTCAGCTGCTTTATTTATTTATTTATATTTCTGCTTAAGGGATACAAGGCTCAGCCTCTAATATAGAAAACCAAACACCACCACCACCATAATGCCATCACTCAAAATGACCTAATAAGCAACTCAAAATGTATAAAGCAATTCACAACATCTCTTCAATCAACACAAAAGAAATGGGGTGGGGTGATAGTTTTGAGAGTCATCCTAGTACTACAACACATCCAAGGACAAAGGAAATATAGTTCCATTACATTTCTTTTAAGGTTTGGGATAGCAGAGGATGGAAAGTACTAAAAAAGTAAGCACAAAAAATAAAATGATCAGAAATTTTCCTTATGAAAATTGATTTCATTCCTCAATGAAACATCAATGTCCCAACCCTATCAGAACAAAGATCTTTCTTTCACAATGAATGATTTTTGCAAATTACAGACCACTAATTTGAAACCAGTATTGCCAAGGCTTCTGAAGGCTCCTGATCTGTCATGTTGTGATGAAATGAGTGTTACACTGCTGCCATAGTGGTACACAGCAACATGCAAACCACCAAAGGAAAAGAAAGAAGAAAAAAGAAGTATCTATATTTTTTAATCTATATATCTAGATTGATAAATAATGAATGAATGGATGATGAACAGGTTCATTACATGGCAATATCGGAGCAGAGGCAAAGGGAGATGCCAATGCCGAAAGATCGGATAAGGGGTGTGGCACTTGACTACCCAGAATATAATTCGATTGACTAACCCAACCAATTCACTCCTCAAAGGGCTATTTGGTAGTCTACTTTTAAAACGGAACTTTTTATACTTGGAAAAAAGTTAAGTTTGTAACTATTGGGTAGTTTTATTTCTAATCGTTTTTATTTAGAGATAAGTATTAGAAAAAGCAAATACTAATATATTATATTATATTTATCATGCATGTATTGATCAGTGATATAAAAAAATGTTTAAAACAAAAAATCATTTATAGCAGCTCTCTAATAAATTTGATACATCGATAATTAAGATAAATACAAACTATTAATTGGTGTTGATAGTCACCACCATATATAGTTGACTATTAATTTGTATTCTTTCTTCTGTAACGATGCCATTTGACATCACCACCTGAAGATCATATTCCATCAAAATAAATACAAACACTAAAATTTTCATACAACATAATGTATGGTGTTCTCAGTACTATATGATCTTGAATAAGGCCCACAATCCATGATTAGGATTTGTAATGTATTTTTGGGAGAGTTTCTAATTGTGTAGCATTAGAAATTTAGAAATTTCACAATATTTATTTACTCATGAAGTTTGTCAATTTCACTATAGAAAGTGTGCACTTTTGCAGTTACTTAAACATTGTAATTTTTTGAGTTTCTTAATGTAAGAAATTGTTAAATTCAACATTTTTTCGAACAAAAATTGTAAAAATTTCTAATTTCACAATATAGACCACCAGTTTGCGCTAAAAAAAAGCATCCAGACAGATCGCCATGACCATCCAGGCAGATCAGGATGATTGACAAATCAGGAAAAAGCCAAACAGATCTAGAGCACACACTGAAGCCAAACAGATCATGCAGACCATCCAGACAGATCAGGATGATCTTTCTAAAGCCAGACAGATCATGGAGACCACCAAAGGAAAAGAAAGAATAAAAAAGAATAAATAGAGAGGGGCAGACCCACACTGCTGCCACAGTGTTACACAGCAACAGATCTGTGTAACACAATGCACCAATCTGCTGCTGATGAAGACAGCAGCTAACTAACAGATTATATTGATGCAATACTTCACCATGTAGACCACCAAAGGACCAGCAGAATTGCTCCAGATCAGTCCACCTTCATGACTGATGCAATACTTCACCATGCAGATCACCAAAGGAAGAGAAAAGAAGGAAAAAAAAGAAATAGAGAGGAGCTAATTCAGAGCAGTTTTGGACCCCAAACGCCTCGGTTTTGCCTACTTTGTCACACTTTTATGTCCTACATAACTAATAATGCGTCTTATTGAAGCGTTGCTTGCTTTCACAAGTTTGTTT